CTCAAAGCTATTCAATTGACTATATGGAGAATTTCTGAGAGGACGTGCAAATAATAATAAAAAAAAAAATTTCCGAATATCACACGAGATGGTCAATATTTACGCAACTCTTGAGTGTTAATCTTGGAAACATTTCATTTGTCAACAGCGAAGCATGTATGATATTATCAAAGTGTATAATTTAACCATATAAGTTAATATCTATCACTCTGATTTTATTGGCAGTTTCAATTCGACTCATTTTACACATTTGGAACACTATACCATAACCTTAATTCCTTCAATGCAGTAAGTAACGTCAACCAAGATCTGAGGCACACCGATTATTTGCTATTAATATAACCAGTTGCGTGATGGTAATTTCGATTATTCGTTTGTAAAAATCTTCATTGCACTTTATTTAAAGTTGCATGAAACTTCGATGATAGTTTTTAGTCTAAATTTCAAAGAACTCGATGAATTTTCCAAAAGTAATGAACAGTTTTCGAAAAGTTTTGACTTCGACCTTACACTAAAAGATACCCTTCACGTTTCAAAGAAATTGGAATAAATTTTGATAAATATTATTTCAAAGAAACTGTGATGAGTATCTTCTTACGGATACATTACATGTCGCTTAGAGTTAATCCCGTACACAGAGATCTCGCACCATACGTTTTATCGAATTTAAATAATTCTATAGAGAATTACTGGAGGACAAAATTCAATTTTCCATGCATAAGTGTGTCACTTTGAAGGCACTTGGCCGGCGTGAACATGACTCGTCGTATATCCCGGCGATGAACGCGGCACTCGCTCGGACAAATGAGTGAGATGTTGCTTAAATGCGATGCACATTTTACCATTGTTTGGGTATTGTTTGTTTACCAAACTTGGTCATCCTGACCCAGTTTGTTAGGCTAAAGGGCTTAACAGCGCTCCATCCGTTCTCTGTTTGCGCGGTGAGAAAGAAAGTGTGTCAAAATTTTTATTATGATGCTTTTATTTCTGTGAGTGTCGGTGCAGGCGTTGTGTTGATCTGCCGCCTCATCGACCGGCGGCTGTGACGCGACGCCGCTTAGTTCTCAGTATCAGGATCACCGCAGCGGATACATGGAATCTATCGACCATTCGTAAGAACTTTTCAGCCTATGCAGAAAAGATATTCATTTATTTGAATGTTGCCATAAGAAATAATTTATCGAAAGGAGTGAATACCATAGGATCCGGTTTAAAATTTTACTCGTTATGTACCAATACCAATTATCAAAAAGATCATACTAGGAGTCAGTTCCAGGAAGAAGATTTTCGCAGTAATTAAAATGTTTGAAATGAGAAAAACTTTCAGGATATTTTCTGTTACAACATTTTTTTGTGTCGTCTAAAGTTTAGATTCTCACGCCTCTGTATTGGAATGCTGCTGTCTCCTAGCTCGATCTTAGTATTCTTATTATTGTTCCTAAATGTTTCAGACGTATAGCAGTCCCAGGCCAAGATGGATCACCGCCTCATTTAATCATGTGAAGTGATGAATCGTTCAGAAAACTTGAACATTAAGGATTTGACGAGCAATAACACTCTAACTTGAGTTAATTATTCATATGTCATGGCTCCATGGAACTTTAAGAATCGCATTCATAACTCACAACATTCAAGAAGCAATTTGAATATAAGGAAATTTTATTTATTGTACAAGATCAAAGCTGTGTAATGACCAAATTTTTTTTTAATGATTAAGCTCGTTTCAAATTTGACCTATAAATTCACTATCTCTTAAGCTTAATTGATATCCCACTTTATTTGATCCTGCATTGAATTTTAGCTCATTTTGGTTTCTGATTCTAGTTCTCTTAGGATGCCAGCTCATTAAGAGTTATATTTACATTATATATACGATTACATTGTGACTGTAGCAGATATTTTTCATCGTGATTTAAGAGTATAATGGATTATTTTTTCAGCCTGCTGCTCTAGTTCTTTCTAAAGCCGTTAAAAATGACAAAAACAGCTTTCTCTAAAAGCTGTTGTTCTAATTTTCTCTTTGCTATTTGAGGCATAGTGGATCTTCAACACTCTTAATTAAATTAATTTTTTGAGCCTACCTGAGGTTCTCGTCCTATTATGCGTGTCTTGTTTACGAAGAAACTTTCCTAACAAAGGCTTGGTCGGCTAATTTTTTAGCGGGCCTGTTTGCTTCAGTGATGAAGTTTTCGTAGAGTGCAGGACAGTGACTCGGCGTAGGAGGATGGCTTCTTTGCACAAGAATTAAACGACACTTTGAAGCAATACATTTAACATTTAACTTTCAAGCAACATATTGAAGCAATACATTTAGAAAAAAGAACTCGCATCCAGCGTATCCTTGAGTGCAAGTAGAGCGTGCAGGATTAAATTTAGATTGTTAAAGTTCTGTAATGTTAAAGTGTATAATTTCCCTGAGCTTTTGTCAGTTTTCGGATGGAACGTCCATTAGACCATTTAATTTAAATTTGAATAAATCTAATGAATCAATTGGATTAGATTATTATATTTATTTTATTTCGAATAAAATTGTGAAAAACTACATTTATATGAAGTAATGTTATTCTGATCAAAAATTGAAATGAATGTATGAATGCTCCTCCTGTTTAGATCGACTGGCTGGGAATGAAATATGAAATTTTTGTGTATATTGTATTGGAGCATTCAATTTTACAATTTCAACACGGGACTGAATCTTTTTTCCCTGTTTGAGTTTCAAGGCAATTTTTTCTGGTAGAATATACCCAATTTGTGATAGGCAAAGCTTTCATCCAAGAACTATTTTAGCAAACAAAAGTGCTGAGCTGGACGATGTGAGGTCTCAGCAAGGACCTCCCATCCAGGCAAATGCTGCTGAAACAACGTTGATTTCGACTTGATTTCGTTGAAACAACGTTTAATCAACGTTATTTCAACGCCAGATGGAGGCTCGTACCTCTCGTTAGGCGACCTCTTAGCGTGCAAGTCGCCCTCATGGCAATGTCTGATCAAGCGATGCCGTGTTCAAGCAGCAGCTTTGCAAACTAATTGCCTTCTTACGCGCTGCATCTTAAATGGCGAACGCAAGTTTGCAATTTTATGTGAGCGTGTATAATGTGGGCAATGTCTCACGAGCCCGACATTATGTTAATGAGGACATGGTTGTTTGTACATTAAACAACTCCAGTTGCTACCATAAAACGATAGCCAGGTTAATGACAAGGAATTTATTTTAATTCATAATCTGGCTGGTTGAACCGCAAGATTTTTCATATAAATCACGGATTTAATTGAAATTTGAATCGAGGATATGAATATAATTCTTCTCTGTAAATTATGATTCTAGGCTGATTGTACATAGTTCAATTCTGAATTAGACTGATGAATTATTAGAGGATTTTAAATATTATTTTTTATTTATTACTGATTATTAGTGTTCAGTGTTATTTTGGAATAAAAATTTCCACAGATCACTGATGAGACTACAGATCGATCCTTTTATTTCTGCATGCATTAAATTATGACGGAGTCTTTGTTTGCACATTAATTTAGCGTGCGGAATTGAACCTCGGATCACACACACGTTGCTTTTTTCGGCTTCTTATATGTTGCGGCACTGCATACCAATTGTTATTTACTAAGTAACTGCAACGCATTGTCATAATATAAAGATTTAAAGAATGCAGTTCAATAGGATTTACTGAGCACGATTCATTCAGATAAAGCCTACCTAACGATATAACTACTCGCCTGCATGGCAAGGAATTCATACCCAACGGTGGGAGCAAATTCATTCAAGAGTCTTGAAATTTTTCCACACCTTGCTTTTAGAAAAATAAAAAACTTGAAGCGACCATTGAAAATCTATACAAGTGATCCTGAGGCCGTAAAAGTCCTCATTGAGAGGTACAGCGATGCCAGATATACCGGCGCTCAAATTCGTTCAATATATATATCATTGGAAGCCCAATGATAAAGCGGTTTTATATAGAAAATATGGTAATCCCGGGGCTTTACTATTTTATTTAAACTGTGGAAACATTAGGTTTCATTTATTCGCCTGAAAAATCGGCTATTTTTTCTGATTCAGGATAAACTTGTTGTGCAATTTCCGCTCGTTTTACAAGCTTGTAGTCGACTGCTAAAGCAACGACTCGTTTTCAAGTTGAAGAGCAAGACTTTTTCGGTCACCACAAGCTGTTATGCTGCACTTTACGCTCAAGTTCAGAGAGCAAAACTACCTTAGACTTGTGGACGTTCATGTTAACACGAGTAAAGTACGAAAGATCAATTGAGCTGCATTGCTTCGCGGCGAGTCTCACGCTCGCCATGTTTTCTGATAAGTTCGAGTCTCAATGAACTGCGTTGCCAAAGACGGAAGACTGCCCTTGAAATAAATACTACCGACTTATTTGCCTCCAAGATTAAATGCAGTCTTATAATTTAACAAATAATTGTTTCCAGTATTTTATTGCTATTGAGGCAACGTTTGTCACTTATCATTAAAAGATGATTTTTCTTTGAGAGGGTAAACTAAGAAAAAATCTTTTGGAGTCCTTGTGTATTCAACGTTCACTTTTTGCATGCCACAGTCAAAAATAAAATGTTGTCCAATTCTTTTATTCCATGGGCATCTAATGAAAATTATGTTACCATTGATGATTTTTCAAACGCTTTCAATTCGAATTATTTTGAAGCTTCTTCATGGGATCTTCGTTCCAATCGTTGGCCTCTCGATTGGACGACATGGGCTCTCCGTCCCAATCATTTAGAAGTTGTTACTTGTGGGATAGGTTTTCAGTCAGAATTATTATTCCGCTTTCTTACAACATGTACTCCAGTAAAAATTATTAGAATGCTCTTTTATTGTGAGCGTTCGTTGTTTGCAGTTTTTCGTACACCCTACGAGGTAAAACAAAAATTATTTCTCTTTTTCAAAGCACGTAACGCTGTAAAATGCCAACAAATCTCATCTGTAATTAAGTTGACATTGTCGATTGTAGAAGATAATAACACACAAATGTGGATGCTGTTTATTCAAAATCAGCATTTCACGTTTTGAGTACAAAAGTCAGAACAGGACTAGTTAATGTAAATCTATAACATAGAACTATATCACATTTACGACTTACAACAAAATATACAGATGATGAATACTTTTATTTTATGTACAATAATTACAAAAACAACAATTGAAGGGCAATGTATTCATAAATGGGTAAACATATGATTTGATTATACCTACTTGTTCTTTATCGAAGTGTATACTCATTATTGTATTTGTGGTAATCTTTCTCAAGCTGTGAAATGTAATTTATTTTCAAAATGTGGCTGCATCTAATAAATTATTTTACATATCATAATTTTACGACAACGTGGGGTATTATTGCTAGATCAACTTGAGCGAATTATTTATTATGCATGGAACATTTTTTGTAATTTTCGAACCAGACAAGAATAGCAATAATGGAAGAATAGGTCAACGTCAGCAGATTTGCATGAAATTTTATGTGCAGGAATATGAATTTAGCTTAAAATACTAGTAACTAATAAGGTAAAATCACTAACGAACAGAAGTAAGGACTGAATAATGTGTGCAAGCATCTCATTTAAGGCAACTGAAAAAAACGCAGGTGCTATTTCAACATTTAAAATTTGTACTTAATTAGAGAATATTATGATTAATTCAATTTTCAGCCGTCATTAACTTTGTACAGATGCTGGATCAAAATAATAATTGTATCTCCGAATGATTCACGTAAGGTATCCATCACTATTAATATTTATAATTATATTTGTCAGAAGTGTCAGGAAAATTTGCAAGGAGCATGAGTTGAAATAGAATTTTGAATGATTTTTCTTTCCATCTACAAATTTGCGGCCGGGATTCTTTCCAGGATTGTGAAAATTATGACGATTTCCGACTAAAATTTCTCCTTGGCGATTTACTAATAGTTCTTTTCCACCTTAAATTTACGATTACCACGTTTTCTACACACTGGACAAATAATAATCAGATGTGAAATAATAGATCAGATATAATCACGGTCATAAAAAGAGTTGATGATGACATGGTATCTGCGTTAAAGGTGCTTGTCAAGCGCACTTTGCTCTGGCATGAGGATTGTTGAAATAAATCTCATTTCCAAGAGATATTTCTGATGTACTTTGATTTACAAACTATGAAATTGAAGCCATAACCGCGCATTACGATAAACTGTATGTAATGTCGTAGAAAAATAAATTGGTGTCATAATTGGTATATATTTTAAACTAGAAAAGCTACAGCTCCGCTCAAAGAAAAAGTGATGGGTTGACGCCATGTCTAATGAAGCATGAAACCTTGTCCATGTCGATCAGAAGGTGAAGAGGCGCCCAAAGAACAAACATTTTTCAAGATAACTCTTTGAAATCGTTTAAGTTGTCTGCTACATATGCAGCAGTGCGTATAAACATAAGAATTCACCAATCCGAACCCTTGCTGTTCATCTTGCCATATCGTATATATAAAACACAAGTCAAAACAAAGACGTCACTGAAAGTTAGAAACTCCAAAGCAACATGGAAATAAATTCATCTTCCGCTCAGATGAGGCAAAATAATTGAAAAATTTATCTGTCATACAATGAATTCCCAGATTTCTTTACTTGAAGTAAATGTCAAACAAATTTTTAATGAATAATAAAACCACCAAAATTTAATAAGTCTATCTACGTTGCACCCTATAAGAACAGAACTATCTCTAATATTTGGTAACTCTAAAAGGACATCAGGACCAATATATACAGAATAATTCTCAATCTAATAATAATCATGACTATTCAATAAAAGAGGCAGTCAACGTTATAATAATGCCATGGCAAGCCAGCTAATATACTGGAGGAGAGGTCAAGACACCCGCCGTTGTACCCGTTCAATATATATCATGGAGTTATAATTCTTGCAGCTGAAATTCCAAGATGCAAGCGAGGCAAGAACATATCTTTACATTCAAGGAATAAGCCTGTTCTCTATCTCGTGCTCACGAATGGGTGTGTACTTTTCTTGAGGAGTATACTTCTTCTGCATTTCGTCAAGATTTTTGCCTTTCGTTTCTGGGACAAAAATTATTGTGAATAGCAAACCGACAAGGCTAATGGCTGCGTACAGCCAGAAAGCTCCGTGAAGACCCAAATATCTGCGAAAATCCGCAAAGGTTTTCACGCTCACAAAGGAGCAAACGTAACTCACCGAGTTGGCTATTGCTCCGAGGCCTCTATGCTTCAGAGGGAAAAGCTCTCCGATGTAAAGCCAAGAGATTGGTGAAATTCCAACAGCAAAAGCTACTTGGAATATCAAAGCGCAAGTAAATGGAACCCAGTCCCATGCACCGCCAATCTCTGCTCCGTCGACCCAATAGAGAAAAGTGCCAAAGCCAGCCAGCGCAATCGTCATGAATACGTTGGACACTATGAGCAGAGGCAGGCGACCTACGACGTCAATTAAAAAGGATGATACCGTGCCTGCAATTATCTGCACTAGTACCACCACCACAGCTGCGGTGTAGGGATTGATCCCGACGAAAGCTTTCCCTAAGATTGAAACTGCGTAAAAGTTGAAGGCATTGGCACCGCTGAACTTCTGGAAGACCATGAGGCCGCATGTAATGAGAACAGGTCTTATCAAATCACGCCTCCACTCGTTGTAGCAAGACATGCCGTTCTCGCCTTTCATATCATCGATGTTGTCTTTCATTGTCTGAATTTCTTGAGTGACGTCTTGGCCAGGATTGAGCCAGCCGTAAGACTGTTCGGCCTCGATGTTCTTTTCTTTGTACATGAGATAGCTTGGAGTTTCAGGGATAGCCCAAACTAGGACAAATAGAACTCCAGGAGCGATCGCGACGATCATGGCCAGCTGGCGCCAGTTTACGTAACTGCCGATAACAAAGGAAGAGAGCATCCCAACGTTGGCTGCTAGCTTGGCTACCGAGCACAGGCAACCCCTAATGTCAGGGTGAGCTATTTCACTAATGTATACAGGCGTCACTAACGATATAATGGCCGAGCAAACACCACACAGGAAAGCTGAAGCGTACACCATGTAAACATTGTTGGCAAACACGGTCAACATCCAAGACAAGCAAAATGGCAGAGAAACGATTAAAAGGATCTTCTGGCGGCCAAACTTCATCGCTAGGCCTCCAGGGACTCCACCAAAAAAGGCACCCAGAAGTGACAGGGAAGCTACCCACGATCCCTGGTCATCGTTGATGACGAAGGCCATGGTCGAATTGTGGGACGTGGCGTCCTGCATGGAGACCACGGCGGGCGAGGAGTAGCCTTTGCCTAAGCCCGTCGCCAGTGGACCAAAAGCGACGATGATCGTTGCGATGACCTGCTGGAAAATGGTTGCTGCTTCAACATTCCACATATTATTATTTTCTCCTATGTATAGTGATGTAAAATGACGTTTCTAGAAACATTTATTAACCAATATTACAGTGAATATCTTCATTCAAGCTATATAGCTGGTCATACAAATAACAGAATAATTATATAAAGCTTGTGAGACAAATGCCTCTAGGGTTCACGCTTTCGAGAAAACCAACGGATTTTTCACATCTTCCATTCCTGCATTCTTAAACACTAACAAATATGGTTGTTTTAATTTTTAGTTTATATTAATTACATTTCATTCGTTGTATTTGGCGCACAACAGCCGGCTCCCAAAACAATGTTCAAAATGACAGGCACAAATAAATGACATGCTCTCATGTTAACATGTTTTCTCCGTGGACTTATTTACAAAACAGAATCATAGGAACATTCAAACATTTACCGACATCTTGGTTCACACAACTCAACGATAAACGCTGGTAAAATTGTATCGAAAATTTACTTTACAATTTTATATAAAATTTATTAATATTTTATATGGAAATGTAATATTTTCCCACCTGCGTCATCATGTGAGGACTTCGGCCGTAGATGAGGTCAAGCGTGGAGCTCCCCATCCCGGCTCATAAGATGGCTCTGGCTGGGGAGAGCAAACAACGTAATTAAAAATTCGCTTATAAATTAATTGCAGAATTATTGTGAGTAATAATGCTGGCAATTTATTGGATTATAATACGGCGGATAAATTAATAGAGTACAAGAATATCAATTATAACACGTTAAAAACAATTGCTTTAGACATTCTTGTTCTTAACAATTATTTCGCTTGGAAGATTATATCCCAAAGGTACAATTTCAAAATCAGAATAATTCTCTTAGAAGATTGTAAATTTTACTCATTGCTCCGGCAAAGCGTTGACTCCAACTATAAAGATGATCCTTCCAGGCAAATTACGATGAAACAAAGTTGATTTCCTCGGCATAATCCAACTTTATTGTGATAGACAGACAATATTTAAACATGAAATTAAATGGGGAGAAAGCTCTGTAATTTTTCCATTTGAGTACAATTGATGAAATATGTGTTATGCTGAGTAAAAATTTATAATGAATGAAACTAAATTGTAAATTCAGTCAATTCTTTAGCCCACTGTTTATTGCAAATAATTGATGACTTTGATGAAAATGGACCAAGTACCTACAACAGTCGTCAAAATCAAATATGCTTTAAAATGAATTAAGTTCATTGCCATTGCACTTGCGCAAATATGTTGAATTCAAATTAATAATTTATTACCATCATTCACAAAAATTAATAAAAACTATTGCATTGCCATGAGCATTTCTGCAAGAAATTTTGCACTCAATACAATTGTATATGTTCTGCAACAAGACATTAGTAAGAGAGGATATTGATACATAAAAAAAAACCTCGTGTAGGGCAACAGGAAAATTTAACACATGCATAAACTTGTAACAATAAAGGTCTTTGAAGCGCCATCGGTCTGCGAATCGTAAGAAATTAGAGAGCTTTTCACGGACAAAGTGGCGGCCGAAGGTTTACTGCCTCGAGTGTCGCGCGATTTGCCATAGAGTGTCTTCGAATAAAGATCGTCTACAAAAACCTCATCAGCTGAGGTCAGAGGTGCCTCGTTGTGCTGCCGATCCTATAAGGACATCTGAGAAGACTAATCTGGTTACCACGACCAGTTGTGATAGCGTGTCTGAGCCGCAGCGCATGCTCAATCTACAGCGCGAGTTGACGTAGCTTTGTCGTATTGTAGTGGCAGAAAACTGATAAATATTGGTAGGTTATTGGTGGTCAACCATCGCACATCAAGTCGCTAGCGATGTATGGAATAAAATTTTAAATTCAAAATAGCTCCATTTATTTTATGTGTTCATAGACAATTTGAAAGACAGGGGGCGAAAATTCAGGCGCTTGGGCAATTTTTCTTTAATGTTTATCGTAGCACTGGTTAAAGAATGCGTAGTTCGTGTGTGTAAATAAATTATTATACTATTAAATTCAGCTTGTAGTTCCTTTGCAAACGAAAATGCACCGAACCAATTGTACGATAAGTTCAAGTCGTTTAGCTTTATACAATTGCGGCCTTGTGATTAGGATTGGAGATTACACAGCACGCAAGTTAACTAAGTAAACAAATTTGACATTGCTCTATGCTGGACATGAAACTGTTAACATTCATGGAGAAATTAAAAAGAGCTCCTGTTTGTTATAGGGCTATATTGTACCCATGGTTAAGATCATGAACATATAGGAAGATGTACTTGGCAACTTGTAAACAGCGATCGAAAATGACTTCATTAAATTTTACTTAATCAGGAAAGTCTGAGGAAAAGTTACAAGGTAGGAATTTGAGAGCAAAATTAATTAAATTATAACTATCAGGCCACACATGAATTATAATATGGAGAACTAGATTTAACATCTAACTTTAATGTACCGGCAAAATTTGATCTCTGAGTTACAACATAACTGACAACTTTTCACAAGATGCAACAAATTCTAGGAATACGAAATAAGCTCAGATTTTTTTGACGTCTGATCAAGTGCAAGAACCGCTGCAGGCCACACCATAAAGTAGAGCTGATGCCATCTACCGCCGAGCATGCGAACAACCGAACTACTGTGGTAGACGCTACGGTAATTTCTACTCTAGAGCATCTCGTACGACGCCGCATCATTGAAAAAGGAAGCTGTGCGCCGACGCGCCTGAGGCTCTGATGACCATAAAATACTGCGCTGCGCTTTTTTGAGCCCAAAAATCACAATATGTTTCTTAAATATATTTGGTCATTTGTAATTAAAGTTTTAAATCTATATGGCTCCTTCGTCCATTATACGTCATTACTGAAAGACCACTGCAGTACGAAATATGGAAACAAAGATAAATGTGGATATTGCTAGTATAACGTATTGTATATACATGAACAAAATTAAATAAGCACTAGGAATGAAATCGTCGATGCGCAAGTTTTCTACTAGCTAGCTATGACGAGCAATAATCTCAAGCACTATGATGTTACTACATAAAAGTAATATCGAGTCTAGATGAAAAGTTTGAGCGTATCTCCTTCGTTCGTTCCGGACACAAGTTCTCAGTCATTGCCTCGTTCGTGTAAACACGCACCGACACGAACACCGAGCGTTACGAACAGCAGGGCAACTGACAAATATTTATGATCTGAGAAGCCCCATGAGCAGTAAATGATCACATCAAATTAGGAAGCACGCGAGAAAAGTTTAAAACGAAAAAGAGAAGAATGCCATTATAGTGTGATTAGTTGAAATGAAAGTTTAGGAATACTATAAAACTAGAATGTTTTTATTTATTGATATTGTGCGTAAATGTCAACGGAATAATTATCACAGCATTTTTACTTTGACTAAAGAGACTTCAATATGGTGATTAACCAATATATCGTGATGAAATATGAAAAGAAAAATATTTTATTTGCGTATTTTTATTTTACTTGTTCATGCAAATTACATGAGGTCGGAAATTCTTCAATCTAATAAATTTTTCTTGGAAATGCAGCAAGAGGCGAAGGAATAACATACATAATACAAAATTAGGAGGAAGTGTTGATGGAAGTTGAATAATGGTAATTTCAAACAATCCTCGTGAATAAATCGTGCACGTTCACGCAAACTATTCAGCATTTAGCAAAATTTTCGCAGAACAAAAGATCGATCACTGATCTCTGGCCTCTGTTACGCGTCGAGTGTCGGCAACCGTGACAAAGTAAATGAACCAATCATGAAACCGTCGCTGGAAAATAACAAGACAATAAATTCTTATGACCTCTCAGAGTCAAGACAGGATTCAGCTTTAGCGAGAAAGCACTGCTGCCTTCCGCGGGCAGCAAATTAAGCGCACACTGAAGTGTGACTCGAAAATTTCGCAGTTGTTGCGTTGTCACAAATGCTCGCCACGAATTAGCCCTGCTCAGAGTCTGAATCGTAGGAGACCTAGTCATAATAATAGAAATACATAGCTATTTAAAGGACAACTATGTTATTTACATAAAAAGTATGTTTTTTAAACAGATATCACACTTCTACTAAATTTAGATTATCAGATCCAAATATCCTATCTAAGTAGCATCATCCCTTAATAGATGATTAATGCCAGCCAATTATTTCCGTTCATCGAAAATGTTTTCTTCCAATAAAGAATTTCCCAGCAAATATTTATTTGTGCTTAAGATATGTGTACCTTAATAATGGATAGAAATATGTAATTAGGTATTTTAACATACTTTTCTTCATCGTTTCAAGAATATTTTCACTTCTGACTTGGAGCATTCATAGCAATTAGAAGCAAGAATCAACATTATTCAGTAGTTAGATCCGGTGAGTATAATTCCTTTCTGATAAAAACTACGCCAATGCAGTCAAGACAAAAGAAATATTTTTGCAGGATCAAAGGGCAAAAAAGTCACGACCTTGAGAACTCGAATGTTGAATAGTGCTTGTGTTATCGGCGTCAGTGCTGCGAGATGGTGATTGCTTGGCCACGCACGAGTGATGAATCTCACAGAAAGTGCTTCGTTCAACCCCACCTGATCTACAGATACCAAGGCTACGGGCTCCTGCAATGCAGTTGCATGAGAAGACATGGTTCGTTTTTGTAATACAGAGTTTACAGCAATTAAATTTACTCACACAAAACTTGCACTTTCGTAACAAACGTCTTCAAAATCAAAAACTAATTTTTATCTTCTTGCTGAAAAGGTCAAGGATCAAGTGACTGCTTAACACTCACTCCCGTGTTTTTCACGTGACGATTTGCAGAAAATTATCAATATGTTGGTACTGTACGAGCTAGAGTAATTCAATGCAGTTACAGAATTAAACCATCTATAATCACCATGAGTTCCGTCACGACGAGCCCGTGCCAAACCCTCTTCATCATAGAGCAACGATATCCTAGCGGCATTCAGATAATTTATTATAATTGCATCCATGATAAAGTGGCGTAACTATCAGCATATGAATAGAGGGTGCGCATTGAATGTGCTGGATGCTAGGACTGTTTGAACACCACCAGCATGCGCATTGAATGTACTGGATGCCTGGACTGTTTGAACACCACCAGCATGCTCAGCAAGTGTGCTGGATGCTTCGACTGTTTGAACACCACCAGCATGCGCAGTAAGTGTGCTGGATGCTTGGACTGTTTGAACACCGCCAGCATGCGCAGTAAGTGTGCTGGATGCTTGGACTGTTTGAACACCAACAGCATGCGCAGTAAGTGTGCTGGATGCTTGGACTGTTTGAACACCGCCAGCATGCGCAGTAAGTGTGCTGGATGCTTGGACTGTTTGAACACCAACAGCATGCGCAGTAAGTGTGCTGGATGCATAAAATGTTTGAAATATGGCTGTTAATTTGTGTCGAGTGCGCGAGATTGCTCGCAGATGATTTGTTTTACGTCTTTGTTCAACCACCGAGGAACATATGAGTTGAAAAGAGAACGCAAATTGATTAAATATATTGGAGATAATTGCATCGGCATGGCATACTAATGGCTTCATTTGCATCTTGAACTTGATTGTATTTTCAGTTTTCATTTACAGCCTTCAACCATTAGAAATTAATTAGGCGGTTAATTATGGAACTCCTGTGATGTTTCTCAAATTCCTTCTCGAATCAATTCAAGATCACAAGAATTAAATGATAATTGTTCATACTAAAAAAAAAGATAATTAAGTTCACTACGCACATCAAACACTTGAAAATAGAGCTAGTCATATTATTATGCATGTTAAGACATGATGAATATCTGGCTGCTCAAACATTTTTCATCCTAGCAAGCCAAAGAAAAATGACTCCAGTTCGTATGACAAGTTGTCGAACTAGTTTGTTGAGTTATATACGCCATGATGACTAAAATAAGTTGCGTGTAGTTGTAACTGGACTCAGGATCTATAATATAAATCAAGGTTTACCGAAGACTTCAAGGGAGCTTTCGTTTCCGTAAGCTTCTCTGTCCGCAAACGAATGAAGGTTAACAACATTCATTCAGATATGATAAGCTTACATGATTGTGACTTCAAAACCATTTGCATAAAATGATATGTGGAGCAATGAATTAGGGAATAAATATAAGTAAAAGTTATAAGTTGTGCATATTACCCTCTTTCTCCATCTTCTATCAGGACATTCAGAAAAGATTGGAATATCCGAAGTAAATTTGCGAGTCCCTCGACATTTAAAAGCTTGAGAAGCGAGAGAATTTGTTAAAAAAAAACTTAAATCTGTAGCGTTTGTGAAAGAAATTTCCCTAGCCTATAATTGTAACAAAACGAAAATAATTCAAAAATGACCAAATAAAACCCCAGTTCTTGTAAGCATAAAATCAGCCCACAGCAGATGTTATCCGAGCTCGGCGACGCCGTGTTCATAACTTAGTCTGCGATACGCATCGCTTGGAAGCGCCACGACGATCGCCTTTGAGTTCAACTCCCGCTTTATTTTTGAGCTTCCTGAGCCTCGATGTCAATGCCACTTGCTCGGGTACCGCGTGACCTGTAGGACCATTTGTACCAGAGTTGTAGAACATGAATATTCAAGCACCTCTTACAATGCCATGTATTACAGAGCATTGTGCATTATTTTACACGAGTGTTTTAATAATGATTGTGTGTGATTCATCTTTAGTAGAAATGCGAGGCAAAAATCTGCACTCTTTTATTGCTCTCTTAAGTCAATTTTCGCGTGAAAATTATGCACGACTTGGGAGAGGAGGGAAGAATTCTCTAATATTTTAATATTCTCTGAACCTGATCAGGTTATGAGTATGTATACTTTGCAATGACTTGGCAAATTGATAGAAAGATATAACGGCTGTTCTGACTGCGTTCAGAATGGATGTCCATCATTTAGAACCGAATTTAAAGTGTTGAGGTTACAAGGGAAGCTCGATGGTTTTTGTATCGTCAAGTTGAGACTGGGATGCGGGCGAGTTACTTAGTTGGGCGTAAGGAGGTCAAGGAGTCGTCTTCTAAAAGCACTCCGAGTTCACTTCAAAGAAGACTTTGTGTCCTAACGAGAACTCAATGTGACTCCTGCCTGCACAAAAACTTAAACTTAAAATTGAAATCAGGCCGAGTGTAAGATAAATTTTACATCACTCGAAGTTTTAGCAAGTGGAACCTAAAGTTCCGACTGAAATTAGGTCAATTTAAGGAAAAAATTCTTTCCGGTTACAATAGAGAAAAGTAGCAGAGAATATAAAATATTCATCCCTCAGTTAAAAATACATGTCTTTTACAAGTTTCATGCGGCCAAAGATATTTAGAGAGAGGAATTTTGTCATTATTTTCTCCATGTTTAGTGGAGGTAACGTAAATTTTGTCGCGTTGTCCTAATGTCTCTACAGTGAGGAGCGGTAAGGACAGAGATGAGCCCCTCTCGGTAATAGAGCACCGACCGCTCGCAAGTGCTTGGGAAGCACACCGCTCTGTAATTATCCCAGGGATGACTCCATTATCACCGCTAGCAGCTAAACAACACCTTCAGTCTGCCGGGGCATCATTACAACCACTGCTACTCTAAATTTATTACGTCTTTCTCGGTAAAGAAAAATCTTGTTTCCTGGAGGAAATCCTGAAAAATTCTTCGGCTATTTGAAATCAAGGATAAATAACTACTAGCTTCTCCTACCATGCTGTTATAAATTCAATGTTTTTCCCGCGTGTCATAACGTCACAAAAAGTCACAATACGTCACTGATAGCCAAGTTCTCTATTCAGTAAGCTCAAGAGTTGGACTGCTGCATAAATGCTCAACAGAACGCAAACAAGTTGGAGAGAAAACACACGTATTAGAAGATCGTGAATCAGAGCAACGTCTTTTAATTGGACAGCACCAGAACTAAATAAGCTCCTGCACCAGTAAAGCGCGTCTTAAATTCAGCTTACGGAAAACATATTGCTTAGACGGTGAAGTCGAGCGCGAGCCGAAGTTTTTGTCAATTCATTAGTGTTCGTTTGCAAGGTTACGGTACAAACAAAGATTAAAAAACAAGCAATGCATGAATAGCCAGTCAAATTATTCATCGAAATTGCCTTCATTTCTTTCAATGTAACGCAGAGTCTAAGGTTAGAAGAAAATAACGTGAAAAAATTTAATGAAGTCAAAGCCTGACTGGGCTGCAAGAATTCATTGGCACGAGTTTGAGATGAATAACTAATCTATTCAATAAGCTTGTTTCAAACTGTGCGCATAGGACCCGAAAACTTACGAGTATGGCAACAATAATGGTAGGAGTTCCATAAACTTTGATTTAGTTCACATGCCATGCATTCTTAATCATTTTGAATTACCTTGAATTTGTATGTTTAGTTCATGCGAGGAGAAATCATTGGTGCAGCGATAGGAATGCAAATAGCCCGAAAATTACCATTCAAGATAGCGCCTGATTTTATTCTCAGTTCTTTGCAGTGATGCCTGCCAATAAGGTAATTCATTTCGACACTTCACCTGCTAATTATAGGCATCGGCACCTTCAGATTACGTAGGGGTTCATAGCCTTCGTTGTCGGGACCAGCGAAACGAAAGATAAAATCGGTGCCCTAACAATGGATTATAGGAGGTCCGAGTGAGGTTAGTGAAGCTAACTCCCATTTAATTCGATAACTTGAAACTTCCGATGAAATATCGATATCTAGAACAATTTGATTGGGTGGGAATGTTTGAGGGTTTTATGTTGTAAAGGAGGAGCTTTTGCTTTATAATAAGCAACAATCAATAATCCAACTGAGCAGGTTGAAGGTGTTCATTCCTTTAACGACACAAACGAAAAAATTGTGCTTAACACAAACCTGATAATTTAATACGCATTGGACGAAATAAAAGTAAGTTGCACCTACAGAGAAAATTGGACCCGGAAATAAAACAGTGTAGGAACTCACACCTATAAGATAATTCTGAACACACCAGAGCTACTATAAACAAAGACTTCGGCACGACTCGTAATACGAGACATGCTTTCTCTAAAGAAAATAACAGGTAGCTGAGAGGCGGCCGTTCAATAGAAAGCGCTTTTCCGTCCTTGTTCAGCGTTTAATATATAATAGGGCATTCCCTGCTTACCATACAATGTGGTAGGCTAGGTATGGCATCAGTTTTGATAACACCAGCAACATATTCCAAGCGAAAGCGAGCCCCCCTACAGAGGAAAACGCAATCAATTGTTGCAATTATGTAAATTCTATTGATCGTGGCCCACAAGTTGTACTCGAACGAGTAATCTCTGATGTCATAAAAACCTTTTCACAAAGCTAAAGCGATTGCAGCGTTAAAAACTGCCCACTAATATCAATCAGTTGTTTGGTCATACTGTATTTTACTAAATTATATCCATATATCGACTATAAAGTTTATAAACTATTGTGAGGTACATATGGTAATTGGGAGAGTGAATACCCGTTTAATACAAGGCTAACGTACGTTATTTCATGTTGTTCGTGCACTGAACGAAACAAAACAGATATCAATCGTGGTCCTCGTTCCGGTCGCGAGGGTTTACTTGTACAATGAATTTCGTAAAGCAATTTGCTGAATAGAGGTACATGGCAGCGGGAAAATTGAGGGCTTAAACTGTTTACTGCGAAGCTATTGCTGAACCTCGGGCTTTACATATCATTGCAATTTATGATCCTTTCATTGCGCGATCTTAACGACATCGAGACGTGCAGCGGCAGCGAGATGAACACGAGTCCCTTACTGAATATAACATACGAATAAAACGCCGGTTTTAAGGTTTGTTTCTTGACGTCCTAGGAAATGTATCTTCTCTACTCTTTTACTGGAATTGTTTATTAAGGTATTCCCTCATTCAAGCTTGAATGCTCACTGTTAAAGTCATAGAAAATCTCTATCATGGAAAAATGTTTTACAAAATAATTTTACATGTATAATTAGTTATGATTTAATGTTTAGTTCAACTATTAAGTGGAACTATAATTTCGTTCAAATAATAATACGTTGCCCATTGATATTTTGTTAGGGAGATTTTTGAATGTATTGTTTCGCACTCTGATGTTTTTTTGTAAGATGCCAGTTAAAAGACCCGGTCATCAAACACATTAAATGAACAGCTAATAATTTACGCAAAATTTTCAGTAAGGGATGAGATTTCCTGTAAAGGTGGAGATTTCCTGCAAGGGTTGGGATTTCCTGTAAGGGTTCGGATTTCCTGCAGTTTGTTTTGACGGCGGAAACATGATTTAAGGACAGGGAGAAGCATTAAATTATAATGCCGACTTGGGCTCACCTTGTGCACTGCGGTGTTAACAGCAACGTTTCGATTACGTTCGATATTTTCAAGATGAATTTGGCAGGCTTGTGTTCTCGTTGACCTCTCAGGTCAGTTGCTCAGGACCTGCAGAGAGAAGGGAACAATGGAAGATCAGTTTATCTGTTTTATATTATGATAAAAGGCGCTTCTAAAAGACTAAAGAAGCTGAGTTTTATTGAGCCAGAGTGAATGAGCATTAAGTAACAAAATTGCTTTAGTGTTTTAAGCGCATTTTCTCATTTATGGAAAAAAATGCCCTATTGTGCTCGTCATGTCCGTCCGTCCGGCTGTCTGTCCGTCTGTCTTTTTGTCCGTCCGTGACTTCACGTTTTCTTTGACGAGTAAATGCGCTCTCTGTCACTCACTGCAGTGAGTACTGACTACTGAGTTATATTTTTTATATATCATTTTGCATGTAACAAGTCCTATTAAATTTCTGAAGAGCACCGAGACACATTGGAACTTTAAAGAAATTCGATTTCTGAAGAGGACCGAAACACAAAGGAAAAAAATATAGCAAAAGTTTATCCCATTCCCCATACTCGTCAACTATCAGATTTGCGTTCACAACAGAAAAAGGGTCAAAGCCTCCGCCCATAATTGATGACATGGGATAAAAAACTTCCCAGCCCATCAGTTATAATTTAGAGGCGAAAATAAGCCGTCCACACGACAGCGATATGACTTCATTACCACGATAGATCTCTCAATCTCAATCCCTGTCTGCTTCACGTCAAGATCCGTCACTTAAACGGTAATTCTAACTCAACTCTTTTTGATTACATGTATTTTTATGAATTCCATGCTTCAACATGAATTCCATGCTTTTTTAAAGCCGACACTCATTATTATAGGTTGCAAACTTTATATATTCCTTTTATTAGTATTTCAAAATAGGAGCTATGTGCTTTTTAAGCACCTTGAGAATATTGCATTCTAGAGCATATTTTTTGAGGGTGCGGTTGCAATTTATTTATTTTTTGCCTTATTATTTATCTTTCCCAAAGGATGGCGAGAGATTTTTTGTAGCTCGTTTTTCTTAAGATGTGAGTGCGGGATTTATGAGGTTTATCTTGGTGAAGTTCTATGGGAGTAGACGAGGGACTTGCTTTGGTCCCCCACAATGACGCACCTTGTTCGAAGTTGTCTATTGCTAAGATAAAAAATAACTGCCACTACAATTATTTCACTAAAAACATAAACAACTGTAGTCACTGTTTGCTTCTACTGAAATGGAAGAAAACATCTGTTCAGTCACGGCGATTTTGACGAAGTCTGAGCAATAATGTGACAAAGAATGCTAGTTTATTGCCCAGAGTACAGATCTTTTGTAATTGTGAAATATTTGAACATCCATGTTATATGAAATTAAAAAAAAGGAAAAAAAAAACTCACGTCAGTGAACACCGAATATTACTTTGTATGTAATTAAAGTAAACCTACAAGAGGTCAGTTGTAAATGTGCTTGAATTAACATCATATGGAGTAGGTGATGTATGTGCATACTTGTATGACATTGTTGCATCAAAGCGTCTTTATGACCCGAAAGAAAAGATCGTGCTTCTCAGAGCGAGGGAAGGAATCGTCGGCTTTGTTGGACTAAGACCGCCATCAAACGAATTAAAGGAGTCGCAGGATGAGCGATGAAGTCTCCATTGTCAGCTCATGGTGTCCAAGAGCCTGGTAGGTACATCATGGTAGTCACAGTACGCATAGAGGCCAGTCACGATCCCATCTTCAGTTGACTGTTAAGTTGCACCCTCAGCGTGTGATCCATCATCAGACGATGCGTTTAAGGCCGAACCACTTCTTCACACGAACGGCTCACTCATGCATTCATCTTAAAGATTGACTGATGGAGATGGATCAACTCGACCAGTTTCATTAGCTCTATTCAGGTGGTCTGCAGTCCCTCAAGGCTCCAGCTCAAGTGCGAGGCATTGTTTGACTGCCAGACCCAATGCAGTGAGGCCTTGTCTCTCATCATATAGGCTAACATGCAAGTGTGAATATTTTATTTAGTGTATTATCTGTTGGTATTTAAGTGTGTAAATATTCGACCAAATTATATCTATTTAATGGTTACACCTAAATTGAAATCATTTGGCGGAAGTTAAATCAGTATTTTTTCAAAGATATTTATTATGCCTTTGAGTAAACGAACAATGGAGACTGCACGCGGTTGTAAGCGCGACGGTGACGTCCGAACGCTCTTACTTCAGCGCCAGCCAGACAACCGAACTTTAACCGTGCCGGGAAGTGAACTTGAGATTTTCTAGCACTTTATTGAAAGGAAGGCACCGATGAGAACACAAGACAAACATAAAGTGAACAAGAGTGAACTCGGAATAAACACAAAATAAACCCAGCGGTCGGCACCGACTGAATCTATTGTTCGTGGTAGTGAACTAATAGGATTCTGCAACAAAAATAATAAATAAACTTAAGATATGGCTATAATACTTAACTTTATATATTCCTAACAAAATAATTACAATTCACAGATATTACAGCATAAATTTAGATCTCACAATATAACTATTCACAAATATCACGCACAAATTAACATGTCACAATATAAGCACTTTTCACAAAAATTAACCAACAGTGAAGCGCAAAGTGCTTCACGACTAACAGAATGAAAGTGACGGGCTTCGGATGATCAAGAAGACAGACTTTTTCTCTAAATGAAAATGCTAGTAAAATCGAAAGGCAAAAACATCAATCGAAAAATGGATACAAATTTAACAGAACAAATATGAGAAATAACTGTTTAATGATCGCAAAAAATTATAAGGAAAATCGCGGTACAAAAATTTAGAGACGCATGAGGCGCGGCTACACGGTGCCTTCACGGCCGTCAAACCATCCAGTCATCGGGAGCGCCTGAGTTGACAGGAGATTTGGTTTACTGGCGAGCTTATAAGCCTTGTTTGGGACAAGCGTGCTCACTCTGACGGGATGATGTCGCAAACCTCTAATGCTTTAGTCAAGCAGCCAAACATAGCAGGTTTAAATGCTGCTTAATGTTTTGTAAATTAGTAATCATATTTATCAGTGCAAGACCGTGTTGCTAACTGAATGTATAGTTGCTATCTGTAGCAGCACAAATTTGAGTGCAACCCAAAAACTAGCGATGAGCACCATCTAAAAATATGAGATCATGAAGATAATTTGAATAACAGCTCAATTTAATATGACTAATCTCCATGGCACGCGTCATGCCATCACCTCTGAAGCAACATCAAAGACCGCCGCTCCTTTGCTTCATCTCAGCCAAGCGCCGCTGGATCGCTCGGCCCAAATGAGCGCAGATTTAACGGCGCGCGAGGCTCGGTCTCGACAGTGCACACAGCGGGGAGTCGGCCTGAGTTGCTGCCTGTGCGATATGATGAAGCTTTTCGGCACCTCAAAAAACGAATGAATTTTATGCTAAATAAACACATATGATTGCGTTGATAACGATGATTTCATGTGGATTTTGAGAGACATATTATAGTTCTAAAGGTGATTGGTTTGTAAATATTTGCGAATCTTCTCGAAAGCAGTTCGACCATCAAAATCAACGATAAATTTTTTTAAGCGGTGCAGTCTTGTCTCTGCTTATTCGTCGGTCCAATTGTAGGGATTTTTTTACCCCTGAACTGACCGATAATTTTTTCGAACGTATGATTTCGAACTCAGCTAAACCACGACCAGAGTTATGAAACTGGACACCCTTCAATTTCTAGATGAAAACTCATGATGCGCAGTCGGAGAGAAGTTTGACGCGGTTCTGAAGACAGACCGGACTCTGATTATACAGAAAGATTGCTCAGCTGCCAATTGAGGAGAAATGAAACGCCTGTGATGGCATTAAAGTTATCGATTACTATACGACGTGCATAGTGATGCTGGACGTCGTGACGCGCATCATTTATTAAGGTGTTGCGGGTTATTTTAGACGGCCTTTAAAGGTCTTCATCGAGCTTAGCATGCCTGGCTACAGATAGAGTTTCTAATCGAGCTTAGAAATTACTGTTATATTCAACTGGCTTTCAGGAATCGCTGCAGTGGGGTTTGTACGAAATAAATTAATGAATTTTCACTACATGTTATCTGGATTGAATGGGTTCACACATAGGAATATTTTCTCTCACATATACTTACCTAATAATAACTGTTTCTTATGATGGTAATTCGATGAAATTCACATGGTAAGCGTGCAAACTAATGGAATAGAATAGTGTAAAGTCTTTTAGCATTGTAAACATGATAACAAAATAGCTTTGAGATGATATAGAGTGACCATATCCTTAAATGAGAGACCAACATATGCGTTTAGTATTGTTTGCAGACGTTCAGGTCTCACGTACAAATAAAGGTCTGATTCATTGGTCTGAATATGCAATGACCTCATCAGCACTTTCATGGTGGTCTTAGTCAATGTTGTTCGAGCTGCACTCACATTAATAAATACTGCAGCAACGACTAACGAATATATTTATGGTTCTTTTCCTAGCTTCAAATTAATGCTCAGACACGCAGTGTAAGTTGAACTTACGTCCCAGCTTCCCAAACCGAAAAAACTTGAATAATTCATTGCGACAAAGATCGGGATAAACTTTTATAAATTTTATGCTACTCATTGATGAGGATAAAATGATACAAAATTTAAATTGATGGGAAAATCAAAACTTTTCTCTGCAAAATATCATGCTGGTAATAATTACGCTTATAAATTTGTTCACTTTTCAATCCTCCTTTGCTATCGTTGCAGTTCATGTATCGCTGCTTTGCCTGTCTGCGGATCGAAAAAAATTACACTTATTCGGTAGTTATATTGTGGCAGACAGCCGCCTGTCCTTGACTCGCTATAGAATTTCAACTGTCCAGGATATAGGTTGCCTAGATATTCAACTACAGTAAATTCAAAGTTGGCCGACCATCGGCCATCCAATGTCTCACAATATGCCTGCCAAGATCACGAAGAGAGCAATTGCCATGCACAAAGCAGCTTCTGTTCTCCGAAGCATCGCGCTCGACGCGGGAACAGTTTATTGCCGCTGTTTCTGCTGCGTTTTACTTGCCTCTTCCAATTGGTG